GCTGCTGAGCTGGTGATATTACACTCATTAATTAATATTAAAAACATACTTCTCATCTAACTAATGTTAATAGTTCAAAGTATTATGAAACAGCAGGAGAAAGTCTGACATTAATTTACTTCAGTATCTATAAATCTTTAAACATTTGGCAAAAGTTCAACCCCCCTTGAACCCATATTACCCCCTTTGCACAATGTTGGGTTGCTATTGTTGCCGATTGATCCAAGATTGATGAGAGTGCAAACCTGGCCCTTTGCCAGTTGATCAGCTGTTTTTAACCTTGTAGATTTTTTTGTACCATTATTTGTCCTAGCACACTGAAATCAATATGTCATCTGTGTAATTGTCAATTTTTTAAATTGAACAAAATATATGTTACTTATAAAACACGTAGTATTTAAAGAGAGTATAATTATTGTCAATCCTTCCATCACCTGCATGGGTGGGACTTCCACTATAAAATGATATAAGTAATGTCTATGTGTCTGCTTTGCATTTGGAAGTGATGTAAATATTAAACAAAACATTTTAAAGATCTGGTGTGAGTTTCTTTACAAACATATACATGTAATAAGTATTTACTTAAATATTTTCACACACATCATCTTTCACCAAGATAACTATGTAAGTTTTAAGTTTGTAGCTAGTAACTAAAAGGTAAGATTTGAAGAATAATCCATTTTATAAATAAATGAGCAACAAAACACATGTACCAGAAATTTCAGCAGACTAGAAAAAGGAAGATATTAAAAATAAGAACAGTTAACTGTATAAATGAACTTTGTTGTATCTAAGACTTCCACAATACTTCCTTCTCTACACAAAAATTTTCCTGTTCTTCCTTACCAACACTATAAGACCATGACCACATTCAATGTGATCAATTAAGCTAGGTTGAAGATCATTGTACTTCTTTTATTAAAGAACCTTTTTTTGTTAATTATATCATTGAGCATATTTTACAGTTCCTGCAGTACACAGAAAAGGTCTGAGCAAAAATTTTTACACAGTTGCAGTGTGATCTTGACTGTTTTGATGGGGTTCCTTATGTGGTCAAGAGCAATATATATATGTGTGACAGGCAAAACTTTCCAACACTCACGCATCCATAAAAAAATATGGCTTTAATTTTGCACAAATAATAATATTACACTTCTTTCCTCTGTAAGCCTCTCTCCCTCTCCTTGTTTTGAAATGGGGGGATGGAGATTCATTAGGGGTGGATGTTCACATTTGCATTTTCATTAAATGATTACTGTTCATATATATCAATCAAGAAGAATAAAAACTCATGTGTCATCAAATGCGAGAAATATTTAATCAAGTATTGCAACCAGCAGTCATTCATTATCGCCATAAACCCTTAGAAGTTCATTTATCATTAGGATTTTAATTTTTTATTTTTTACAAATTCTACAGATGGAAAAAAAACCTCAAGACGCATTTTCTTAAAAAACAAAATTAATATATTACCTTGCAACTTACACTTCTGTTGACACTTTTAGGCAAATAATTTGAAGACAATTAAAATACAACACTCCCCTCCAGACTAATGCACTTGAGCACAAAATACTACCTTGTATAGATTACACAGCAAGTGTTGACAGCAGTTATGTACATTTATCTATTTTCTTATCTATTGCTCTTTGCCACACTTAAAGTTGTATCTATCATCTTACAAGGGACACGTCTTATCTTAAATTGCCAATAATATTATCATCGGAGCATGTGCCTTACATTTTTAATACATTAATATTCTATTAATAATTTTCCCAACCTGCTGTATTGAAAATGTGTCATGAAAATTGGCTATTAAAGAAATATTCAAGAGGTAGTGCAGATTCAAATGAAGACTGTCATTGCTTGAATTAAAGGTACACTGTAGTTGAGAATAAGATGCTCAAAAAGCTTTACCCTGATACTTCAGCTATAAATTGTGCATGACACTAGCCTCTGAAACATAATTGGTTGTATATATCCCCAATAAAACATCTTAGCAAATTTGGTCATTGTTGAGCTTGTATAATGAACCTCTTTCAAATATTTTAACCTAAACACTCATCTGAAAAATACAGGTCACACACAGACACTGAAGCACATCTGATATGCATTCCCAGATGCAATACCTAGAGCAAGTTTGGTCAATATTAACATTTCACTAAATTGCGGGAATTGAAATATACAAATTAATGCAGCATCCAAAGCAGAGTGTCTATCCTTTAATATTGAAATCACCCATGCAATGTTGTTTTCTGCCTCGAACTAGAATGACGCTCTGTCATTGGATAATGGACGCCATATGCCTGCCGTCAATATTTCTTTGGACAGCAAGTTGCAAAATTTGGATGGCAATGTCATCCAATTTTATAGAAAAAAAACATGCCAGTATTTTTTTTTTATTAAAAAAAGAAGATAAATTCCAATTTGGTAATGCTGCAATTAAATTTAGAGTAGTGCCCCTTTTCAGTGATGTAATCACAACAAAATGACCTTGCACTGAGACAATAAATTCCTTAAATTGTAATTGATTTCATTAGGTTGTTAACTTTTGTTGGTTCTTGACAAAAGAAATTTGACACTTCTTAGGTTTGTTACTAACTGTCTACAGATTGTGGAGTTGTTCAAATCCATGGAAAGCAAGGCAAATCAAAATGACTTTCAGAACAGAAGAAAAAAAATATTTTTGTGTACCACGTATTTTTCATTATTATATTACATTTAAGTCATGAACCATATCATTTCAAACCTTTACAGAAATAAATACAAGCAGTCTCTCTTAAAGTTAAAGAGAGGGTATATGATATATCCAATGCAAAAAAAGATGAAAATAATACTGATCAATCTCATAAATCCTGATAACCCAAGTGAAAATTTTCTCAAACAAATTACTAACAAATTGCCTACAAATTGCCCAGAAATCACTTAAAAGTGATTTGTTTCAGTGATTTGTAAGCAATTCATTTAACAAATCATGAATGAATCATTTTCTACCAAAATGATGACTATGATTTGTTTACAATTTGTTACGAAAGAGTGATTTGTTTGTGATTTCTTTCACATTTCATACAATTTCTTAGTGATTTGTTAAACTTAGGAAATTGCTACAGTGATTTCTTCATGATCTGTTGAACTTAGACTTTCTTCAAGGTGATTTGAAAATGATTTCTAGAACTTAGTCTTTCTTCAGAGTGATTTGAAGATGATTTGTTAACTTTGTCTTTCTTCTGGATGATTTGTTAATGATTTGTTGAACTCATGGTCCTTCTTGAGAGTGATTTGATAATGATTTACTTCATTACTTCCGCTGCGCTTGCTGATTGGTCAGTTAAGAAACTCTACCGCCAATTTTCATTCATCAGATTTGAATTGAAATGATAGGAGCTAGATTGTGCCGTTCTAGATTCATACCTCTCTTCTTTTGTTGAAACTGATGTTCATGCCATAACCATGCAGCATATAGTTTTTAAGGTATGTATTATTGTATTATGCTATCATTTCCTCCTTAGAAATGACAATACTTCAGTTTATTACCATGATTACATGTTCTACCAACAACAAAGTCGTCGCCAATTAATGTATAAATAATCTATATAAAGCTATAAGCTTCAGCAAAGTGGCTTGTTCACAGTGTCTGTAGACAAATATTTATTTCAGAAAAAAAACATTTACCAACTTCTAAAACAACAATTAATGCCTATAATCTTCCAAATTTGGAACCAACTATATCTGAAGTACATGATGCCAATTACACCTATATAATCTTCCGAATTTGAAACCAACTATATCTGAAGTACATGATGCCATCTTAATGAGGATACATCCCAGTAAATGTGTATATTTTCAATGCACAGAATGAAAATGCTGTTGCCAAAAGTGTATTGTTAATTATAACAAATATGCATGTGTTTCAAGTGAATATTTGAGGGATGGTTGAGCATCATGCATACATTAGTGTGTATCCACCTGGAGTGATTTGATAGTGATTTGTTAAACTGAAGTGATTTGTACACAATTTATTTGAAATGATTTGTTTGCAATTTATTCAAAGTGATTTGGTTGTGATTTGTTAAACAGAAGTGATTTGTAAACAATTTATTCAGAGTGATTTGGTTGTGATTTGTTAGGTGATTTGCTTACAATTTGTTCAGAGTGATTTGTTAGCTCATTTGCATGGGAATTTGCATCACTTACAAATCATCTTCAAATCACTGATTCATTAGTGATTTCTTAAAGTGATTTGTTTGAGGATTTTTTTCACTTGGGAAGTGTCAACAATATGAATAGTGGGCAGGGCAAAAACACAGATCCCTTGAAACACCAGAGGTAGGATCAAGTGCTAAGAGGAGTAAGCATCTCCTGTCAGCTAGTCACATGAGCCCTCTGTATTGATTGGGTTAACAGAGTAATGTGTTGTCAAAATTGGTATAAAACAATGGCCTAACATTGGTAGGAGACTTGTCAATCAAAAAACAACTTAACGACAGGATTCTGCCTTTCAACAAAATTGTTGAATGTCCTGTCACATCAACTTATTTGTCAGGAGCCTGCCTCTGTATATAAAAATTAAACTAGGAACATGCTTAAGATTGCATACTGAATCAGTTGAGAAACAGAACCATAAATTATGCAGGTGATAGTGGGATATCATTACAAAAATAAGAGCACTTAATAATGGTCAACTCAAGCTGAAGTCATCCCTATTGTCATATATATAGGTCTATAATCGTAGTTGGCCATGTATACATTATAATGATATGTCATCCCCAAATATATTTGCTAAATAGAGATGTCAGTAAATTTCAAACCTTAGAGAGGTAAAAACTGATAAAATGTAAATGTTAATACTGTACAGACATCAATAATGTGATAACATACAGAAGATCAATCAGATCAAGTCTATGCGCGCACTAGGCCCCATCTCAAAATAGTTCAATACTGATCAAATTCTCTTGGTAATTTTATCCCATATGTGTCAATATGATAGAAATAAGCATATTTACCTGATAAGAACGCCATATATACAATCAAGCGTTACAGTTTTTATTCCATTTAATTCACACTCTACTGTTTACATGATGTCATGACGCTGTTTCGTTGTCGGCCATTAGTCACGTGGATAAACAATAGTTTTTTTAAGGATCGGGCTCGGAACTCAAAATATATTTTGTGCCCTTGGTTGGCGAACTGGGGCTCAAAAATGACAACAGAATTTTACGAAACTTTGCCAACCTACGAGGAATTAACCGTTCCTGAATTGCATTTAACATGGCCCGAATTAAAAGCAGGGTCCTTATATTTTGGAAGATTTTGTGATAACCAGTGCAAAGTAAGTGTAACAAGATAATTCGAATTTTCTCAACACTGTAAAGTTTGTAAGAACATGGGCCAATAAATTGCACTTTTACTAATTTTTTTTCTTATTTCTTGATAAAAGCGTATAAAACTTGAGAACAGCTACAGTACATGCAGGTTAATGTCTGATTCATTAAATAACGAGGAAGAAAAATGTCCATTAATTTTAACTCTTAGCTGTGATCTCTAGAAAATATTCAAATGATATGTTAATTTGGCTTGGATAGATACTGTGCCTGTTGCACTTTTTACTTCAGCACATTGAAAACATGGATCTCATTCTCACTTATCTGCAAAACTGGTAGCTCTCTGGTTGATTTGGACAGTCAAACCAGAGAGCTACAGATCCAAGCATTGTAAAAGCCTTCGGTTTACAGACCCCTTTTTTGTTGCATGCTTTGGGTACTTTGTTAACCATATATATTTTGCACCTCATCTTGTTTCTTTATTTATCTTTAAATGGTTCTAAGCAGTCGTAAGCAGTTTTTTATACGCTGAAGTCTGAAACAGATGAAACTTGCATAGATGCATCGAGGGTTAAGATGCTACAAATGACTTATTTCTAAACGAGTGACCAGTTTGAAGTTTTAGGAGTAGGTCCGTAAGGCCCAAGTAACTGTAAGCCAGATGCTGACAAAGCCAATTTTCCAGTGCCTGGGGCTTGTGAATTTTATGTGTGAGCAAGTGAATTTTTTAATGAGGTTATTGAAATCCATGAAACATCAATTTATTTGTCAGATGCTACATCTGACCTGCAATTTTCACATGATTGAACAGGTTGAAGTTTTTAGAGCAGGTCCATTCCCAAGTTATTATAAAGTTCTACCTTAAGGCCTTAAATAAAAATTTGTTTGTTTGCAGTTGCCTAACCCACTGAAAATGCACCTGACCCAAACTTTTTTTCAGCTATTTTGAATTATTATTTTTTTTTAAGTTTCAAGCTTTCAGGACATTAAAACTGTTTCATTTTCTATTTTTGTTTTAATCAATTAATGGTTTATAACAAGTGGAGCTTATTTATGTTTAGTCAACCTATGAAAATCTCTATAATTTGTTATCTATCAAAAATCTGAAAACAACAATCTTTTTTTAAAAAAAACAAAACAAAAAAAACTACCTACCCACTCTAAAAATTATATGTCAGCAACTGCAAACAAAGAATTTTTTAAGCTTGGCCTAATGGAACTTGCACAAATGATCATCAGGTACATGTACATGTAATGCACACTACTAGACCTGATTTGATTGCTGCATCTGTCCAATGTTTGCTAGATGACTGAGCATATTTGTAACTATGAGCCATAGTCTAACCAAATTAGCATGGATGTTGCATTTAGGAAAGCATACTATCAAACCTTCTTTAGATGCTGCATTTGACCTACATTTTCTGGGTGATTGAACAGGTTCATTCCCAAGTAAATATAACCTCTACCTGGACCAAATTTTCTTGGGATTTTGCATCAAACATACATGTATTTTCCAGATGGTTAAACAGAAGAGCCAATTACTAGACAAGAATTTATATTCTATAAATGTGCTGGTTTTTAGATTATATAATCTAGCTTCTTTTCATCAAATGTGTATTATTTTGTCCAAAAAAGCTTCTTGGCTTTCACACTTATTATCTTCCACAACTTTTACCTTTTTGAAGTGAGTTATTTTAAAGTGAATTTGATATAATTTGACTGCGAAATAAGTGATTTGTAGGAACTTACATCATAATTTATTTTTTTTTTTAGGAATTCATGTTATGTAAGCAAGAAAACCAAAAGAACCCAACTGTATGCTTGAAAGAGGGCAGAGAAGTTACCAAATGTGGCTTCCAGTTTTTTGGTAAAGTAAAGAAGCATTGCATGAATGAATTTGAGGCCTACTATACGTGTATAGACAGAGACTATAAAGGACAACTGGATTTTTCAATGTAAGTCCTGATCTATATAAATGTTTTGAAAATAAAAAAAAAAATGGTGCAAAAAAAAAAAAAATTGCAAACACACTTTAAATAATAAATAGCAAAGTGATTTTCATTCCCTTTAGTTTTAAAACACATTATGTGAACTTATTGGATATAACCAGTTACATATACATGTATAATGAATCAAAATTGTTTGTCCCTGGTACTTCACTATAAGCTTGTTTTACCTTGGGTTAAATTTCCCAATTTTTTGTATGTAATATTTGATAATTCAATGTTATCAAAATTATGAATTAACAAAACTGTTTAAGATTTACATAAAAAAGAACTTATTTACCCCCCTATTCATCAGAAAACTTTAAGATAATAAGTTGTAGTTGATGTATTCTTTTGATATATTCTTTAATGCAAGGTAGAGTAATTAAGCATCATTTCTGAGGACAGGTGAGAAGGGAGAAAAAATAATTCTCAGTGATTTTTCTGAGAAATTTTCTTTCTCTTTTAGGTGTAGAAAACCTCAACTGGTATTTGATGACTGCATGAAAGAAAAGCTGAATATTGATAGACCTTACATCGGATATTTTGCCCGAATACGTCTGGTGGACTCGGACAGGCCGCGTCCTGTCCTGAAAACACGGGAATACAAGAAACTCCAGGAACCACCTACAGTTGAAGAACTAGATAGGATGAAACTGAAAACTGACCAATATCCTCTACACGTATTCAAATTGTTTGAGTAGATATGTTGACTGGCTTAAAAACGAACACTTCAGTTTTATAAAAATGTGAAACATTATGTTAATTAAAGTATGAGAGTTGTTTGTTGTGTTGTTTTTCTATTGTAAGTTGTTTATATCACCAGTGATCCTGTTTGTTGTTTAAATCTACAGTGAAACTTGTCAAATCTGGATGTTGAATCCAAAATCTTGTCCATTACAATGAAAACTGTTAGTCCCTTTGAGTAAATTCAATTGTTCAAAATGTTGTCTAATCCGGATCAAATGTTGCCTAATCCAGCCAATTTCTATGGAACCAGTGAGGTTCGGATTAGACAAGTTTTACTGTATTGCTATTACTTCCTTAATCTTCCTCCTTAAACTACAAAATTCGTGCTATCTATATATTGATATATATATGGACTGTATAATTCTTCCATTATAACAACATTTTGATTGAATGTAAAGTTCCTATCTTATTGTGAGCCATTTGTCCACAAAATATTTTTGTACATGTATGTGTTTATATTCTTAAAATTAGGTTTACCCTCAGTGAAGTTTTATCCTGAATTCTTTTTGAGGGTATAAAACTATGCTCAGAATAGAATTTTTAAACTTTTTAGACCCAGCCTCGGGAGTTTTTGGTATTTAGATGAAGCATCATAAACAAGATGTTTGAGACTTAGATTTAGGCAGTTTTAAAGAACCTTAATGTTTGTTAATTACTGGTAAAACAGTTTTAAAGCAGACCATCAATTGACATATTAACAGTATCTCCCTGTGAAATTCATTGTAAAAGAGGGGGGAGGCAGCCTGTGGAACTGTCAGAGGAGACTCAAAATGACTTCACTCTTCCTTGGCCCAGAAAAATGGACCCTACTCCAAGGAGTAAAGCTGCAGTATACTAAGCAGAGTCACCTCTTGGCATTAACTGCATGGGCTAGAGGGAGTTTGGGTGGAGTCTTGCCCTCCCCCCCCCCCCCTAGAATTTTAGGATCATTAAATTTCTATGTAAAATTAAGGAAAAAATCCCCTCCCCAAGAAACACGGACTCCTTTAAAAATGGTGAGGGTCATCTATCAGTCTATCAAAAAATTAACTTGGGAAATATTGTCTTCTACCCCCCCCCCCCCCCCCCCGAAAATAGGATTTTTGTCTGATATGTTTTTTTTTAACTTATAAACAAATTTCTGAGTCTGAGATTTGTTACAGTTGATGTGGAACTGGAACACCCCCCCCCCCCCTTGTGAAAAAAATCCTGGGTATACTGAACTGTAAAAATATGCTAGTGTATTTTTTTCAATTTAAGGACATAGGATACTCATAGAAGTTTGTAAAATAGTTTGAACTGGCTTTAATTTATCATTGCTAAAACACATATTTTTCACGAAATTTTTCCTATCAAACTAGCCTCTTTTTTTTTTAAATAAATTTTATTTTTTCACCAAAACCAGGCACACAGCTGGAGGGGGGGGGGGGGTTATAGTTTTTTTTGTAGTTTTAATATGTAAATTTTCATGCAGACGCTGATCAACTGGCTCCCCCCACTTGATGCTGTAAGGTCGAACACTGGCATTTCAGCATTTGATAAAAATGTACCAAAAAGTTATAGGAAGGTCCAACATCAGCGCAATACAAAAATTCATCTTCTTCGGATTTTTGGGTTCTAGTATCCTATGACCTTAAACATCCATCTTTATGTGAAGTAGTATAGTGTAAATCTTATACGGTACCAGAGTTTATGCACCAGATGCGCATTTATACATCAGTAAGGGAATGATTTCTCCTCACAGGCATCTGATCCCTCGTCTTGAATAACCACGGGTCTGTGTTTTATGCTTGTTCACAGGTTTGTATTGTTTGTAGGGGTTTTTGAGATCGATCCCTATTATTTATCTTCACCTTTTTCATTATAAAGGATATGCTTTTAGGCAAATGAAACCAAACTTTTAAGAAGTAACAAGTCGAGAGCATTGTATGTACACGTTTATTTCAGTAAATACATACTAGTTTGTAAAAACATAATTTTAAAAAAAGAGAACAAGAAGTAGTATTTACAATTTGATTCTTTTTGAAAAGGAATCCCTTTCCATCTGATCAAATGGGTTCTCCTTCGATAGCAGAACGTTTCAAAAGATCCACATACATTTATCTATAGGTTGACATTCTGGAAGATTCCAAAGAGAGGGAAAAGAAATAAAAGCCAAACCAACGATCTGAAGCAAATATTAAACTTCGAGTATCCCCTTTTTGTTTCCAAAAGTTGTTTATAGACAAAAATAATCGATGCCAGCTTTTCTAAGATCTTTTTCATTTTAACAGAACGAGTTTTTGTTTAACCCACTGAGGCGACTTGTTCTGCACTTCTAAATCTAGCTGTCTTAGGTCTTTGAGCTGCCATTATCTTCTGTAAGACTTTTTTACGTCTTACTTCTGCCTTCTCCTGTTTTTCTTTGAGAAGCTTGTCTCTTTTATCTGTCATTAAAAATTATTATTTAATTTTATTTTTAGTTACAATATATATGAGAGAGAGAGAGAGAAGGGGTGGAGAGGAGGGAGAATACATATCTGTACCTTTCCACTTTTCATACTCTTCGTCATAGACGACTCTGGTAGTGGACCTTAATTTGACAGATGGCAACTTTGGTATCGTTGACTTGAATTCGATGTTGAGCGACATTCCATTCTTTGCCTTCACGAGATCGGACATCTTACTGTCTTACTGTGTTGGCATCTTCACTTCTAGCTGGAGATGTGCAGAACATTTGCCATGGAAGGGGGTTGTTTTGGAATTTCTCATTCAGTATCTCACTTTGATTCTCTTCCTTGATTTTCTTGTAGGCATCCATTTCCTCATTTGAGAGGACGCCTACTTTATTACTTCTCTTTCCAAGGCAGCTTTGGATTAGTCCCATTCTGTCTGACAACGAACGAATGCAACTCTGGTGGAGTTATTATGACGTTATAGGAACTATGACGTCATCTAATTATGACATTTTAGAGAGTAATGATTAGAACCAATCGAACACGAACGGATATTTTTGGGTTAGCTTGGTTCCCCGTCCCTGGTCTGCTTCCTGTAGTAGGGGATTTCCTGTCATGTCGTGGCTGAGATAGAGAAACAGGCTTTTTATTGGTTCTTTCATTTATATGCATAATTTATTGTATTTTAATGAGATATTTAATGCTTTTGTCAGTGTAATTGGCTTTTTGCATAGAATTCCAACCTCTAAAAAAGACACTCTGTAAAAATTAAAAACAACCTTTTAGGCTATTGAATAAGATTTGTTCTCCTTTGAATATTTGTTTCAGTTAATTGTTTATATTATATTATATATTAAATTATATTATTATTGTTTTATAGTGAATTGAATAAGAACATGGTTGCAGAGCTGACGTACAATAATACTGCAAAAGCACTTTCACATATATACCCGCGCCATGCATGTTTAATTGGACATGGTTTTAATGTTTTGATTTGTTGTATGTAAAGATCAGTATGTCTGTTAGTAAAAGACATTTACTTGTCTCCTTAATCTCGAGTCGTGTTTTAACAATCAACAACAGCTGCAAAACGCAATCACATTGCATCTGGAATTTAAAAAAAAAAGGAAAATGTTAACGTTGCAGATATATTGGCATCACAAAATCGCTTCAAAATGAATGCATGGGTTCGGCTAACATATTGCTAAGCAATATTTGACAATATTTGAGTACCGGTATTTCCAGAATGAGGCTTTTGTAGAATTGTGTATTATACTGTATACATGTATTCTCTGTCACAAGAGAGACTGGGGACGTGCAGGGTACATAATTGTGAGAGCTGGGATCTTTGAGACTCGCACAACTATAAAGTCTCAGGCAAACAGTCACCCCTACTAATGTTATTGTGATTTAAATTCAAGACACGTGGTGTAGGTTGACCCATTCTAAGGTTATAGGGTAGAATCGGTTTTATAAATAAAACTGGCAGTAAACAGGAAATTGCTATAATCTGTTTCTTTTAAAAACATGTCCTATAAAAATATGTTACCAGAATTTTCTGAAAGATTTATAAAATTTTAAACAGAAATGAGTGGGATTTAAAAAATCACAGTCTACTTAATTAATCTTCCCTTCTGTGATCATTTATGGCGAAAAATTGAATCTTTACGGGTAATGTCGCGTGTAAAGAACTTAGTAAGAGCTTATCTCACTAAACAAGTACTGCTAAGCAGTATACTGATTGTTAATTTTGATTCATTTCAAAGAAAACAAATATTAAAGAATATGAGAATAACAGAAATGCTCTCTAGTCTCTTTTTGAAACCTTTTTTTCTTCAAAGCATAAAAAGAAAAAAGTGTGTGTATTCAATCAGTTCTTAAATTCAATTAAGAAAAAAACTTACTAAGTTAATTTTGATTGGAGAATTTGGCAGGCATCACAATGCATCGCATTGTATTGCAGCAGAGTGCAGTATGGTGCAGTTCTACTTGTAGCAGAGTGCAGTATGGTGCAGTTCTACTTGTATTTAAACAAGCACAATTATTTTACTTGTCATTGTATTATAAATATCCCCCACCATCCACCCTCCAAAGACAGCTTTTATATACAATTTGTCCTTGTGATTGAATGTTTATTTGGGAATTTGCATAATGTAAGTTTTGTTTCAAAGTTCGATAACTCAAATTATGTCCCTTTGAACAACGTAGACAAAACGATCATTGATTTCTGCTTCATATTATGTAAATGTTTTAACAATGCTAACGAATAACAGGCCTGTATACTATATATAAGACGCTAGAGAGACATTCACAAATGACCACGTGTTAAAGTCAGAGTAAATAACGGTTACGGGTAATGTCGCGTGTAAAGGACTTAGTGTGAGCTGATCTCACTAAACAAGTACTGCTAAGCAGTACTGAAAAGCGTCTTTGATTGTTCTACAAAGTCATCGGCGCTTTGTTTGAGTCTCAAAATATTCACTCATCAGTCAAACAGGAAAGTTTATATTTTTTTCCAATGTTTTGCCTAATAAGAAAAATTAACCAAGTATGTTTAAATTAGGCAGTACATCAAGCATTACAATGCAATGAATTGTAGGACAGTTATATTTTTATTTA